CCGTGAGTTCGGCTATTTTGGAGAAAAATTAAGAAATATATATTTTAATCTAATTTTTATCTTTTATGTAATATCCTGCTGTCTTTCTCAAGTTTCATTTACATTCATAATATCATATGATTAGACAAAATATAACATCATAATCTTTTCACTCATGTCTATCAATTTTCAAAAATAGCTAGTCCGACTTCACGCCCCAGGGGCGTCTAGTTTTTTGTTAAAACACTGGCCCCCCACCCCCTAGGGGAAAACACATCATAAAGCAGATCATAGGGGAGGGGGAGGATTTGAAACTGTTTTAACAGCACAATTAATGGAAAGTTAATTAAAGGGACACTGTCAATGGATGACATTGCGCGAGTAAACTTGAAAACACTAGGCTAGTTGGCGCGACATAAATCAGATCGTAAATGTAAACAGATCTAGAATATTCCAAAGTGTGTCAAAAGCACCACAAAATAATTTATCTCGAAGGTAATACTTTCAAAGTCCGCTAGAGGTGAGACTGTTACTGCGCATGTCATCCATTGACAGTGTCCCTTTAATGTCTAAATCAATAATGTTTGCTTTTTAGGAATTACTGCTCCCTAATACTACTGCTTACAAGGGTAGGCCTGGTAAAGTTACGTCAGTTTTTCATAAATGAGTGGAATGCATTGGGTGGATTTGTTGCGTGGACCGACTGCCCTCAGAATGGCGCTGACCTGTTGACAAAGTACAAACCACTTCCCTATGAAAAAGACAAAGTCAAGTCAGGAGACTCAACAACATGGGATTTGTCTCTCTTTGTCAAAGCTCTGTTGGACTCCAAACCTCCATTTGTACCCAAATCCAATAAGCCTTTAGTTGATGCACTGAAATGTTTGAAAGACACAAGAAACCAGCTTTGCCATACTGGAAATGGGAAGATTGATTCAGCAGAGTTTAAGAAGTTGTACAATAATGTATGCAGTGCATTATTGTTAGTGGGTGCATCACCAATGGATTTTAAACAAGTTGATGAAGGTACATCAAGTTTCCTTTGTAAATTCTTTAGATTTTTTACATCCTTTCGTCCCTCACTGAAAACACTGAACAAACAACAGATGATTACGCCTGGGTTCCCAAGGAAAGATTTTTCATAGTGAAGTAAGAACAGCCCCTTTGCTTAATATTGCCAAATTGCCATTGAAACATTGCCATTGAAAAAGTCAATCCACATATCAAAATGTTTGCACTAGTTCAGACCAATCAGAGTGCTTGTAGTATTATCCTCGACAAATCCAAGAGTGTGTTACATGTATATACCAAATGTTATATAACTTATTATTATATCTATTCAGATGTGCAGCAACCATGGAATGAAGTGTTATCAATGGTTAAACACTGTGCCGCACAAGATACAGATATCATGGAAAGAATTGATACAAGTAAGTACAAAATTATTGCAATATTATAACCAGTGGTTTTGTACTGCTGTAATCTATGTGGTGTCTACGATGGGTATAATCCCACTATGATGTAGATATAAAATACTTTTTTGTCAGGATCAATAATGGAATAATGCTATTTTGGTTAAATCACTAAGATCGCTGTCTGCATAAAATACCATAATAATCCAAGGTTTCTCTTCAATTTACAGTACACAACAAACTTGATAAAATACTGCAAGGAATTCAAGACCTACAATCGCCATCACCATCGAAATCCACAAGTAAAGGTTAGCTAAACTTACTTTATTTCGCAATCTCATTATCAAAAAAAATAGTGCTAAATAAACAGCACATTAAAAGTGCAGACGAGACTATTGAGAACAAAGGAATTTGCATAATTCAGCTCAATTTAGTTCTATTTAACTTAATTAGTCAGTTTTCTCTGAAATACAGTAAAAAAAATCACACATAAAAACACCCTTTTGGGGGACTCGGGCTGATTGGGTTCTTATACATTGGGTATATTTAACAATAAGACCTCGAGGTCGAGTGGACTACAAGCTAATAGCCCATGAGGCCGAGTCCCCGAGGCCGAATGGGCTATTAGCTCGACTAGTCCACGAGGCCGAAAGGTCTAATTGTTTTAGTATAAACATACTAATCGGTCAAATAATGAAAACAAATTGAAATATCCTTAAAATAATTTACAAGTTATAATTTATTTATTTTGATTTTCCCGCGAGTGGTCTATCACAAATTAGACCATTAGTAGAGTAGCCAATCACAGCACAGTATGAGTGATAGACCAAGTATGTTTATACTAAAATGCAAAAGTCAGGCTGAAAGTATTCTTATTTTTTACAGTATTTTTTAGTATGGACATACGACCATGATGAAATAAGAGTGCGAAATACAATATTTTAGTTAATTTCTCAAATCTCATTCATTATGTAAAAGGACCTTTTTTATATTACCCTTTATAGCGAATTTTCAGCCTGTGAGCGTTTTTACTGTATAGCAATATTCCCCCCAATAATAAAAAAGAACCAAACAAATAAAAACTCCACGCTTTTGCATGGAGTCTGTCATGAACAAGCGATTACAAAGATATACGCTTAAAATATGAACTTACATTCTCTTTTGTCAGATATGGAATTGTATTCCTCAAAACTCAAAGAAGCGATTACAAAGCAAACATGTCTCCTACCAAAAGGACCATATCAATCAAGACTGAAAACTGACGATATATTCACAAATCTAACTGTCTACCAAGGTAAACAAAAATCTCTACAAGAAAAAGCCCAAGAAGATCACCGCACACGAAAATCGGTGAAAGAAATCGCTGAGATATTTGTTGACGAAAACGAAGAAAACCCGAAATCAATTTTGGTTTCAGGCGAACCTGGTATCGGAAAAACGATGTTCTCGCACAAAATCGTCAGAGACTGGTCAACAAATTGCATATCGATCMMTAAWATYAARTTSACKTACCTGATAAYGTTCAGGCAACTWGTCATGCTTGGCAACAAAGAGCTCACCCTAAGAGAACTGCTTAATCGCTCTCCTTTCCTGAACACAAGCACCATGATGGACGATACAGTAATGGCGCACGCCATTCACCATTCAGAGCAGTTCTTCGTTGTCCTTGATGGCTTTGATGAATACGAAGACCACAACAAAATATTGGGAAGTTATGAAAGCCAATTCCCCAATGATGCAGAAACCAAGATGCCGGTAGCTGCCCTGATCAGCAAACTAATCCATAAAAAGATCTTGTGCGATTCAGTCATCGTGATAACTTCAAGACCGGGCGAAGCCAGCAAGTTAGACGAAAAACTCCACTTTGACCGATGTGTAGAAATTACAGGTTTCTCACAAGAACAGGTCCTTCAATATGTTGAGAAGTATTTCAACTCTAAACCAGATTGGGTAAAAAAGATGGCCATGGAGAAAGTAAGAGCAACCGCACATTACATGTCATTTGGTCGCGTCCCTCTCCAGTGTTTGTTCGTGTGCCAAGTCATCGAGTGGGAAATCAAAAACAATATTACTAGAAATAATTTAGTTCCTCTTACACTCACTCAGTTTTATCGTGAAATTATTAGTTGCCTAGAAAGAGCAAATAGAGAGATGGATAGTTTAGATAAGGAAGAGGCTTCGCTGGCTGTTGAGAAAACCCTTGATAACTTTTCTGAACTAGCCGCACAGTTAGCTGAACAAAATCGCTTTGCTTTCACTCAAAAAGACTTAGAAAGGCTAAAATTACCAGAAAATGAAATATCTTACCTTAAATCAAGTAGTTTAGTATTTTGTTATCCTATTGCCAGTGATTCTCCATTCCCACAAACAACTCTTGAATATAGTTTCTCACATTTAACCATTCAAGAGTTTTTTGTTGCTTGTCATTTGGTGAAGAAGCGCGCAATGGCSGYWCAAGAAACCTCTGACATGGTGCACATATTCACGAGTGGTTTGTTGGGTTTAGATCAGGAGAACAACAACGATAAACGTATGTCGAAAGTACTAAAGTCTGTATGGAAACAAGGGGAGTATAGATGGAGACAATGCGTTGTGTTATTGCGCTGTCTCCATGAGTACGGCCAAGAGAAAGAATTCACACGACAAGAACTGACTACAAATCGTGACTACAGATACTGGACTAGTGATGGGTGGATTGTATTACTTGGTGTAACCGACACGGACTGTGATGCACTCGCTATGTTATTAGAATCCACTGCTACATCAATATCATCACCACCACACGCATTGTACATTCATCACTCACAGATAACCATTACCACGTTAAATAGATTGTTGTCATCTCTTCATTCAAACTCCACAATCACTAGACTGAGGCTGGCGTTGTGTAGTTTGAATGATGATCACGTAAAGTGTTTGTGTAAATATTTAAGTAACACTAACATCACCTGGCTAACCCTGTATAACAATAACATATCAGATGTAGGGGTGGATCACATTGTACATAACATAGCTAGTAAACTAACCTATCTAGACCTGCGTGGTAATCCAGTATCTGTAGAAGTTAGTAAGAGTAGTAGACAATTCTGCCAGGATAATTATCCTGGACTTAGGTTCTACATATAGATAATTAAACATTAGACTCATAGATGTAGGTTTGCACTGATAAAAATATTTCAACACAACAAAAATCACATCAAACCATTTATTTCTCATCATTTCTTGGTAGTTTTCTACAATAATATATTTTACTTTTTTTGCATAAAGGAATAGCTCTTAAATTGTAGCCTTATAGTTCTTGATATTTCGAAATTCAGAACATGATTTATGTTGAATTTTGAGGTCAATTGACATAAGCTGAAAGAAATATCACTCTTTGAACAGCTTGAAGAAAGCTAATTTTTTTGAGTATTTTTCAATATTGARAGAATATTTTTAGAACTTTAAATTTAAATGAAGTGTCTTATCTTTGTATATAGCTTATCTTAACTTAAAATAGTAAAAATTTGCTATTGAGTTTATAGATCTAGATCATTTGTTTGTTGTAAAATAAAAGCTGAACTTGTCACTGCTTTTGTGCTCAAATTATAAAACTCGAAAAAAATTATGAGAGAAACATTACTGCTTTATTCCTGTTGCCCGATATTTCATTGAGAAAAAGATATTCAAAATTATATTTTTCTTTTTTTTTGCCATCAAAATGCCGATTGCTGACTTTGAGCTCAATGCAACAGCCAGAGTTTTATAGTTAATAAGCAAAAACGAGTCGTATTTTTTTTCCTCTTTTAAAACGTTGCTTACTTCTTATACCGATTGCAAAATATCTATGTAACGGCTTAAAACTTCTTGTCTAGAGGTTTATCATTTTGAGCGGACTTGAAAATGTCCATCTTGTCAAAGCTACTTTTAACGCAATTCAAAAACTGCTTTCCACATTCCACAATGAAAGAATGAAATACAAAGGTTTCTTATAAAAATGTTATAAACTGTTCATCACGTTCTAGAATGACATAGTCTAATTCTAGTTGCAAACCTTGGATGGCAGCTTGTTCAAACGACCTTGACAGTGTGAACCTAGGAAAAGATGAACAACGGTTCAACATTAGAAAACTGGTTTACAATGAAAAATTTTCAAAAAACATTAAAAACACAAAAAAGTTTTCACAACTGTACTTACCACTTATCAAGGTGAGTTGTAAGGAACGATATATCCTCCATTTTAAAGACAAATTCATCTCAAAATATCACATAAACCAACAAAACTTTGAGCGGCACCAAACTCTCTTGACTTCAAACCAAAACTGACGGGTCGCGGGATGTGAGAAGTAAAGGCGGGAAAATACTCGACACTGATTGGACAATATATAACTGAAAATGAACGGAGTGCACATGACTAACATCGACGGAGGGGTCGACAAGTCAAATCGCATTATGGGATACACGAAAACACAGCTTTGTCTAAATCATGTAAAACTCTATCAAGTCCTTGATGAATGTACATCCGATAGTGCATTGATATTTAATTTTCATGTTATCGAAAAATGTGTAGATGAAAAGTATTTTTAATCAAAAACGACAACTCCTCCACCCCCTCCCCCCTGCTCAATTCATTCTATCTTAAGTGCCCGTGGTACTTCCATCCAGCTAATGTATTTTGTAAGTTATGCGTGTATTACGTAAACACGTGTGCGTATTCAAAATGGCGGACTGAATTTGACAGATTCYATGCAAAAACAGCAAGAATTATCCCTTTTCATYTYCAAATCGATAAAACARCACTTCAGAAACCAAAAGRAATATGCGMAGTTCATCTTCGCATCTTAAAAGGGGCATGTCCTTGGTAGATAAAGATGTAAACGGCGCTTCGAGCGCATCGCCTCTGCACAACTTCGTCAAAGCAAAGAAGAAAATCAATAAAACCTTCGCAGAAATCAGTGATTTCTTGATTGAAGCCAACGATTTTATTTGTGGATGTCAAGTTTCGGATGAAAATAAAGCTGAGTTAAAAARGTTTGCTGAAGAGGTAAGGATTTCGTCCATAAACTGAAGGAAACTTATGAGAGAAAATGCAATGAAACTGTGAATTAAATTTATAAGATTAATTAAGCTTATTTATATATTAAGCTTATAGGATCATGCATGGATATCACGAAATAGAGGTTTTTCCGCGCAAATTCACATATGAATTTCAGTCGAGTAGGATGCAAATAGAAATGGCAAAAGAAATCAGATCGACTTGTGGGATCAAGGATCAAATCTAAAGAAAAATAAACAGTTACCCGAATCAATAGATTCGTAGTCCACAGGATAAGGGCTTACCTCTCGTATCCACACTTCGTTCAACCTGTCTCAGTAACATTTAGAATAAAAAAACTCCTATCTACATTTCAAGGTCTCTAGTTATCTAGCTTGAAGCAAAAAACTCAGGTACCTTTCAAGAGTGTGTGGGAAATGAAGGACACCCTTACATCCAGAACACTTTAAAAAATGTTTTAATATCCACGACAACAAAAATCAGCCATTCCTACACTTATAAGAAAAAATATTACAAGAACTGATCCAAGAGACTTAAAGATTTTGTGTCTGTAAAATATCTGTAATGTAGTAATAGTGTTAAAGCATTTTATCCCTGTGTAATTGTTACATCAGTTTTGCGCTCTTCCTGTAATTCAGTGTTTTTCTTCATTTACACTGTGATAGGAATGAAATAAACATATTATTATTAATAATAATTTTGAATATTTTAGATGGCAGGTTTTGTCGGCCAAGTTGCAAGTATAGCAGAGATGATGACGAGAGACCAGATGAAGGTGGCATTCTTTGGTCGCACAAGTAATGGCAAAAGCTCTGTTATAAATGCTATGTTGCAAGATAGAATTCTTCCGATGGGTATCGGACACACAACCAATTGTTTCATGAGTGTCCATGGATCTGATTCCCAGGATCCTTTTATTCTTATTCCTGGCTCAGAGGAAAGAAGAAATGTCACGGTAAGTCAACCTCCTTTTAGTTATATTCACAACTTTCCATACTCAGGTTCGATGGCCATCAACAAAGCATTGAACCGAGACATCAAGGTACACTGAGCATTAAAGAAAAGATCTGTGCGCAGTGTTCCTTGACGCCTCGGTTCTATGCTTTGTTCGTGGTCACTGAACCTGAGTATGGAAAGTCGTGAATTCTGAATACATGCAAGTCTCTGAAGCTTTTACGTTATATACTGTATACACAATGCATTGTAGGATATAATTGGGTCAGAACATGGTGGATTTCTTTAGTTTTCTCTAGAAAGTGATCC